ACAACAGCGTATGGTTGGGCCCTTCGACATGATAATTCTCTCCCCCCTTTGCAAACTCTCTGGTCTGAATGGGCGACTCCTGGGAAGTTCTTCCTGAGAGTGCTCCAGACAGGCTGGCCATTTGGGGGCATGTTCCACAGTGCCCTCGATCTTCTCCCCAGCCCACGCAATCCGCTCGCATTCTCCGACCTCCCCGGGCGGCCACACCCGCATGCAACCTCGTTGGAACAGAAGGCTCACTGTTGCTTCTCAATCTCCAACCTTGGTCGCAACACAGCCTCAAGGTGGCTCAAGATCATCCTGTGGCGGCCCGAAACACCCCCTGTGTAGCCGAAGGCACCAGCACGAAACACGAAGCAGGCAACAATAGTGTCAGCGCACAACAACAGCAAACAGCATCAGCATCAGCAGCAGCAGCAGGTAGCGGTCAGCAGCAAGCACCAAGCAGACGTGGCCATCATCAGCACCTTTCAGCAACAAGCAACAACGACACGCAGCAGCGGCAATCATTACCAACAGCATGCAACCGCAGCAAGCAACACTACGCAGAGGCATGCGCCGAATGCGAGGGTCGAGCCCCAAGCTGTAATGACATCCCCACACGCTTCACCCTGCAAGTGGACGTAGACCACGGGTTAGCCATAGTCAGTTATAACTCTGGGATCAGCGCGTGCGAGAAGGGCGGGCAGTGGCAGCGGGCGCTGGCACTGCTGAGCGAGATGCGGGAGACAAAAGTGGCGCCCAACGTCATCAGCTACAGCGTTGGGATCAGCGCGTGCGAGAAGGGCGAACAGTGGCAGCGGGCGCTGGCGCTGCTGAGAGAGATGCGGGAGACAAAGGTGTCGCCAAACGCCATCTCTCTTACAATATTGGGACGGGTGCGTGCGAGGAGGGGTCCCTACATGGCCTCAGACGGCCTGAGGACGGTTCTGAGAGGCTCGAGGGGGCGCGAGGACGGCCTTGGAGCATTCCCAGGGAGCCCCAAGACAACCCCAGAGGCACCCAAGGCAGGCCAGGAGGCTCCGAAG